ACAACATTGTTTCCTGATGCATTAGAACGTGAGATAATGTCTGTTTTATGGCCTTTGACGTCGACCTCCACACGGTTTCGGTGCATCGCCGAGCCACCCTTATTAGTGGTTCCAGTAGCATCAATTCGCAGAGCTTGTCCCCTGCGTGTTCCATGATTTCCCCCCTCCTCTTTTGGTACCACAACACGCTCAAAGACACCCGGCCTGCTATTGTTTATCATTGGCTTCAAAGGACATTGCTCCTTCTCGTGGGTTAACATACCGCAGGTGGTACAGTGTTTGAAAAGGAGGTCATAAGAAATCTTAATTGTGACTGCATCACCATCTGAGTTCGTGGCCATTCTCGTGAACTTAAGGGGCTTGCGAGTGTCAATGTCGATAAGCATTCTCCCCTCCTCAAGTTCAAGAGTATCTACACGCCCCAAAGTATTTCCCAGCCCTCGAAGATTCGTGATGGTCCACAAGTGCAAAGGCACTCCCGTTATGGTCACCCAGAATGGTATGATCCATGGATAATCATCGTGGACGATAGGCTCCCACCGTACAAGCACAAACATGCAAAAATTATAGTGAAACGGGCCCTGTCGAAGTACTTCATTGATATCCTCCTCTGAAGTAAAATTTAACAGGAATTTGCCATTCCCCAAATCATTTGCCGTTATCCGTTCTTGCATACCCCACTGCGTTGGCATGTAGTTGATTAAGCGTTCAATGTTTTGTTTCCTTGGGTTAAGGATCTTTCCAATTAGAGACAGCTTAAATTCTTGCAATACATGTGAACCTTCATCATCAACGAGTTTAAAGGGCTCATCCTCATCATCGAGCATAATGCCTTTGCCTTTGATATCGGCTGGGATATGTCCCTCATTTATCTTCATCGCAAGGAAAGAACCGGCAGTCCTCTGTTTTACTCTGTTTTACTCTGTTTTGTGATAAAAAAACAGAGGACGTTGAGAGACAGTGACAGATTCCAAAGAGAATCAAATCGACCACCACAGCAAACAAGAAATGTCGACTTTGAATATCAGATTCCAATGAGAATCATAACACCAAGGGAATATATTGTGAGAATTCTTCGTGAAAAAAACAACACTGGAGCGCAGATGGTATCGATGAGAACCTGGCTCAGAGAGCAAACCAGATTACTAGATCGGAGATTTCGAAGACCACTGGATCAAACGAAAATACCACAGCGACGTAACAGAAACGAGATAGCACTCCCCTTGCGACGCAAGGAAGCGTAGAATCAAAGGATCCACAAGAAGAAACGTGACCAGAACCAGTCGAACAAGGATTCAGACTAGTCAATCACCGTGATCTAACACCAAAGAGTGTGTGAATCAGGGTAATCAAGGCAAGAAGAAAAGGAATCGAAGAATCGCCTCATCGCCTTAGGGTTTTCCTATCGCCGCCTATACAATACGCGTGCAAGTGTTTTCGGAAGCCATGTTTGTCAAGGAAACCATCTTGCCAAGTTTGTGATTTCCATTTTTCTTTATCATTTCCTCCTAAAATGCCATAAAATCAAGCTTTGGGTTACCTCAACTATCTAGTTCCCACTCTGCATTTAGTTGCAGATTTATAATGTTTTGTTTTCCAATGGTGAAAATCTCATAGTGCAGCGGAGCAACTATGGTTGTCAAGTGATGTTTTTGCCTTACACTAGACCCAAAGATACATGATGTACCGGTCGTGACATGGGAAAGACCAGAAGTAATTTTCAAAAAATTGGCCCTTTTTATAAGAACGTTTATATACTATAATAATAATTTTCTTATAAAAAAAACTGCATTTTTCAAGTATTTTTTGAGGGCCGGAAGAGGTTGCTTGTAATGCTTCCCCTCAGGACCGGTACTGCACTCATCCCTTGTTGATAAATGATTATGCATCACATTCCATACTAGAAAAGCATACGTAGGAATAGCATGAGTGAACTAAACCCCTTAACTCCAATTATATACTGGGGTCTCATCTCGTAAGAGCAAACCAAGTGGCTTTTGACGAGAACTGCTTCATTGTGTCCATTATATGTCATAAGGCAATATCCTCTTGAATAACTACAGTATCATTTTGTTCTCCGCAATTCCATCTTTCACCAAAATTTAACAGATTTACTTTGTTCATTACCTCTGTAAGAAAATATAAGATTTTAACCGTAGCATTATCTGAGATGTTTAAATCAAGTTTACCATGTTCGTCAAAAGAGTTTGAAACACGTCCCAGAGAAGGCAATACATATATGCCAAAAAAGAGGCGGATGCACCATTTTGACTTTCATTCTATTAATGGTTTGAACCATTTTTGATCTTTAGGATCTTTCTCCATTTCCAAAAACACTTTTCTAACTAGTTACCCAAAAAATTCATTTGTGATTGAAATAAATACAGAGATGACTTTTTATTATTTTATTATTTTTCACGCAGTTTCAGATATATATGACTTTGTTAGTGGTCGTGAATGGTATACCGTACTCACACTACAAGAAAACCTTACAGACTCCGACAAAAAGTTTCCGACGCCCTTGTTCTCAGAAAATTTCCGATGACTATGCGAGATAGTAGGGAGGATTCACTAATTTCATCGGAAATTTGAAGGAACTTTCCGATAAAAAAAAATTCTCGGAAACGTCTAATTCAATTGTCGGAAAAGTGTCGGATTGTACCTACAAATGAAATTTCTCGCTATTTTGTCAGAGGCTATCATCGGAAAATAGTCAGTGTTAAAGTGGATATCGTTCCGATGAATTTACATGAAACCGTCGTCGGAAGTTTTGTATTGTATACACAGATCTGTATTGAATACATAACTGATAATATATATAACATTTAAACCGTAATATTTAATATATAGAGTTTATAATTATCTATAATATGTGGTTCACAGCGATGCATGCTTGTTTATATGTATTTAATAATTTTTATTAATTTAATTCAAATCCTCTTTTCTATCAATATGTGGCTTATCTTCTTTTCTACCATTTATGCTCAACAGATCTCCGTGAAAGATAGATATTTTCTTCCATTTTCTTCTTCTTCTTCTTTGTTCTTACCTCCATTTTTAACTTTGTTCGTTCTTTTCTTCTTACCCTCCTCTCATTAATATATCATTATGCTCTTTTAGATCTATGATTCTTTTTTTGCTTAATCATCTATTATTCTGTCAAGAGACATTTATATTTCCTTATGTTTTTTTGTAGATCTGGGATTCCTTCAAGGGACACAACTACCACCTCAACTCCTTTGACCACCGTAACTTCTTGCACCTCTGCTCCGGCACTCCTTAGGCCACCACCGCCGGAACTCCTTAACCACCACCAACGGAACTCCTTACATCACCACCGCTGGAACTCCTTGCACCGCCACCTGCAACTCCTTCCCAGTCACCATCGCAACTCCTTGTAGCGGGCCGGGATCCCTCACACCAACATCGGCATCGGAGGATCGTTTAGGAATATTTTTATTTTATTTTATAGCATTTTATAGTTAATTGTTAATATGTAATATATATTTGATAATTTAATATTATTTGAATTCTATTTGTAATTTAATAATTTGTATTTTTTTTATTTTAAAATATTAAATCGTCAGAAGTTTGTCGGTACATATCAGTCTAAAGTTCCTCGGTATGTTCCGATCAGTTTCCGATAAAAACTTCCGACAAGATTTGTCCTCGGAATTAACCGACATATTCCCGAGAAACGGAAATTACCGAGAGCCAAACGCCGACTAACATTCAATCCTCGGAAAATAGTGGGAAAAGGTCATTACCGAGTAACTTCCGATAAATATAGCTGTCGGAGTGTATGCATTATTCTTGTAGTGTCATTCGTTGGCTTGGCCGAGTCTTCAAAACCTACAAATAAATTTATTATTTAAAAGTCGGTTTATGTAAGGCCAGTTATGTCAGAAATCAGACCAGGTCAGAATCTATAACCTCTAGTTGCATATTAATGCTAATCTGAGACTGAGTAGTAAGCTCGGAAGGTTGCAATTTAGCTTTAAAATTACATTCTCCCGCATGGTACTATCTGATTTAGCATCATATCACATGAGTCACATGACATTTTATAGAATTGTAAACTACAGTATATTTTTGCGAATACAGAATATAGTTCTGAGGATCACGTTTTATATCCTTTTCTTTAGGGGCATCTGGAGTGATATATAAAAGAAATAAAGTAAAGTGAAATGTAGATGGAATTTAAGAGACTTTTGATCTAAGAACTGTAGTGTGATGTCAGACCTCAGATAAGGTGCAAGTATATAAAGATTAGAAAATATGTGAGATATTGACTACTTGCATATTATATTATTTATTTTCATTTTATTGAATTTTCTTTCTTGGGTTGCCGAGATTTAGGGACATTATTATTGGAAAAGTGTGGAATAAATTGCAAATGACATAAGCCAATGGCAGTGTATGCAACTAGCAAGTCGTCTTGCTACCCAATCACATTCCTGCCCCTATCTTTGATCTAATAGACTAATCCTAGTTCTTAGATACCCTATTAGAGGTATAAAAGATCATAGGTTTAAATTTAGTTCGAAATTATCTACTTTTTTAATGGAAGTTAGTTTAAATGCTTGAACTCGTATTAGGAAAATGTATGGGCTTTCGGGTTCAGAACCTCAAAATCATTCAAAATATATACATATAAGGTAGTCAAATGGAGTTAATATTCCCGGTTTATTCTTGATTGAGATCCTCAAAATATAGTTTTAAGGTGGTACACTACTTGGGTTTACAGTAGTACCAATGTACCACTGGAACTGCCATAAGTTAACAAAAAGAAAACTATAAAGCTCAAACTCATCTCCTTTAAATTTCTCTTTTGTTGTTAGCCCTTTGAAATCATGTTAACATAAAGTTCAGAGCAAATCTGAATAACTTAAAAATATTTTACACAAACAGAAACGAATTAAGCTCTTGATTAGCTTCCCCCCCCCCCCTTTCTTTAAAATACCAAAGTAATGATTCTTCTCATGGGGAAACTCTCTAAATTAGCACATACTATGCATGCCACCCCAGTAGCATGACCCCAACGAGGCCAGAGGATCTACAGTATCAGACGAAGGCGGCGCCTTGTGTGGTTCCACACCGATGCTACCTTGCTGGATTTTTGTTGTCCGGTACCAATCATCAGGTATTGCTGTGGTTGAAGAGAAGTTGTTGAGAAGGCTCATCAATATATCGTCATCATCCATTGTTGCCTTCACTATCGTTGGCCCAATATACCTCTTGTAAAGATTAGAGGTTGTTTCTGTTCATTAATTAACAAAAGATATTAACATACTAATTAAGATGAGATGATAAATTAGACCAAAATAATAGATGTATTTGTAATTACCAAACGCTTTGACTACTTAGTGTTTACTTAAAACAAATCTGAAATGAAATCCGGACCAAACACATCTACGTACTAGGCTGATTTAAATGTGGTTATACCAAAAATGTAAATGCAAACGTTTTAAATTATATATGTTTTTTTTTTTTGAGAAATTTAAATTGTATATGTTTCATACCGAAAGATGACTGATGAGAAGAGTTTGGATGATCTATCAACCGATTCTCAAAATCCATCTTCACTCTCTTATCTTGATACTCACATAGACCAGTCGAAGAAATTGTAACGTCCTTGTAGCTTCCGCCACGAGACAAGACTCGAGACTCCTCCAAGACGGTGTCAAGCAATCCACTGTTGCCCGCATGTGGATAAAGAGGGTCACCATTGTCAAATATAGTATTAGAACTGAGCAAATGGGTCGGTGTTTGGACTGAAGGAAGCTCTAGGACATTACTGTCTAGTCCTAAAGGGAAAGAACTCGGTGTCATCTCATTATCTACCATAAGCAATGAACTATAACTCGTAGCATCAATATCTTTCTTATTGGTATAGCAAAACTCATTTGACGAGGAGGATGAGGACAAAGGAAGAGTGAAACCAAACAGGTTATTGTCATTCTCAAGGGAAAACATATGAGTATTCATCGGAGTATTGGGGATCTGGTTTAAGCTGGGATTAGTAGAGATCAAGGGATCTAAACACAGATTTTTCTGAGGTTGAGAAGATGAAGAAGAGAATAAAGACGAAGATGATGGAGTATTAGAGGAATTAGTGTATTGAATCATATTTCGGTGATTAGGCTGGTCTTGGTTAGGGAATTGAAAGGAGTTAAACTCAAACTCATCACCATTATCAATCCCTTGATGCTGAATCTCGTGAGGGTATAAAGGCAAACCAGATCGTTGTCTTCTCTTCGTCCTCGTGTTCCAGTAGTTCTTGATCTCGTTGTCAGTTCGTCCAGGTAACTACAATATTTAAAAAAAAAAACTAAATTAATAATAACAAAAGAAAGAAATGCAAAAAACACTTTGAATGAAACATGCAAGGTTTGTGTTTAACTATAAATTTCTAATTTCTCATATAAATTTCAAAGCTCTTTAATTTACTGAATTGAAGAAACAAATAAGTATATTAAAAGTGCTTAAAATTTTTAAAAATGGAAACAAGATTTTATTGAGAGAAAATCAACCTGAGAGGCCATACGAGCCCATTTGTTTCCCACCTTAGCGTGAAGCTCGATGATGATCTTCTCTTCATCAGGACTAAAAGAACCTTTCCTTAGATTTGGCCGGAGATGGTTCGCCCACCGTAGACGGCAGCTTTTCCCACACCGGAGCAAGCCTGAGTTCTTCTGCACCGCGTTCCAGTTACCTTCTCCATGTTTCCTCACGTACTCCGTCAAGATCGCATCCTCTGTCGTCGTCCACGGCCCTTTCTTCAACCCCCTCGCCCCAGTCCCCGTGGCCGTTGTCTCTCCATCAGTCCCACCGTGCATATTACTTTGGATGACGGTGACCATCCGAACAAGAAGGATCTCTCTCTGTTACTTGATATATATATACGATGTTTGTATGTGTATATATAAGTATTCTTGTGTGTAATAAATTAGATATATAGAGAAAGGAAGGAAGAAAGAGTAAAATTTCATTTCGATAAAAAAATGTGTATATTTAGAAGTAATAATGAATTATTACGTAATAGTTTGTTGTTATTTACGTGCTTTGTTTAAACATTAATGTCTCCTTTTGTCTCTTTCTTGGTCTTTTTGGTCTTTCCTTTGAGATAGACAGAGAGGATTCAAGAAAATGCAGGAGTTGATAAAAAACATAAGATAATTGCCTGTCTTTAGACCAATTCGAGGTAAAGAAAGGGAGATTGTGATGTAATGGTTTTGAGAAGTCTATAAGATAATCGATAACGTCTTAGTGTCTCAATCTCATATTTTCCAATCTATATGTATGTTTACAAGTCGTTCTCTCAATAATCCATAGTAATTAGTCTTTTTTTTTAAACACCCATAGTAATTAGTCAAAATCGTTTGTTTGATGTTAACAGAGAATCCAATTGAAAATGACTTGTTACATCCAGTAATAAACTTTTGGGAAGACATAGACAAACACTCGAATTAAGTATGACCAAGCTAGAAACATTAATTAAAATGATTTATATAATTTTTTTAATAGAAAGTAGAGGAATGAGCTTCTTTCACGGCCGCGCAGTGCATGCCTAATGGAATGGGACGTCCTCTTTCCCCTACGCGTTTTTCTCTTATTTTACCTTTTCTTTTTCCCCAACGCATTTTCTGTCTTTCTTCTCGCTTTTTAATCTTTTGATGACAAAAATATGCAAGGGTTTATTATTATATATTTCTTTAGGATAGCTGGAAATAAAGATAAATTAAAGGTCATTTTAGGCGATATTTCATGCAAAGTTACGTTGGCATGATCACTTTTCATTGGGCACATTTTTATCATAGGAGTGAGCCTTATAAGCAAATACTTCTTTCTAAGAGCAAATATGCTCCAAAGTGTCGAATTGTATTTGAACACTCCTTTCAAAGATTCCCTATTTTATCTTAATTTCTAGTAAGAGGAAATAATGTTAATACTTTTTTTCCAAAAAGAGGTCTTCATAGGAAATGATGTTATACTCAAAATATAAGTTAGAAACAATTAATAGCACTTAGCAAAAAGAAAGAAAAGTTAATAAAAGTAATATAATTAAAAATTCATTATATATTTTTTTGTCGGATACGTAGATCACGAGTTACATGCTTATTTTTTTTTTGTTTCTAAACATTAATAATTAGCATTGATTACACTTATTTGTTTTATGTGTGTAAATAATTGTAATGTTGTACATAATTATCTAAAAAACACACACATATATATATATATATATAAGGTGTTTTATCCGCGCATCCAAACATAGTCATGTTACAAATATTTATTATTACACTTATTATTAAAATTTACAAATTTGGTTCTTTTTTACTTGATTATTATTTATACATCTAGTTATTAAGTAATTTTAATTTTCCATGATTAAAATTTATTTTGGACAATAAAATTATGTTTTTATGTTTGTCCAAGTTATATATTAATTCTTAAATAATAATTTAATAAAGCACTTTAAAATAGTTTAAATGTGAAAACTACTTCGTAAATAACATTATTTAAATTATAAAAATTTAATTTTTGTTTATATATCTTCCTATTTCTTAATTTTATTTTCTACGTTCAAGAAATTATTTTCAGGTAACAACCCAATATATATAGGAATTATCCTTTTTAAGAATATATATATATAGGTTTTTTGATAATTTATTTTATTAATTTATAATAATTATAAAATATAACATATAGATCTCATATTATTAATATAAAATTCATTTTAATTGTATATTTCTGATAATTTAATATTATGGATAATTTAATATTAACCGCTCTAACTTTTAACATAAGAGCTCGTATGCGAAAAATCACTTTGAAAATAATAGTATAGATATGTTTCGGACTACATTGTTGAAATGTGAGTATTTAGAGACTGGTTTGTTTGAGAAGAATGAAGAACAACAAGAACAGAGGAGAGAATGTAGTATTTTCGTGAGAGAGAAGAGAGGAGAGAGAGAGTTACACAAGAGAATAGAATTGTGAGGAAAACTATTTCCTTAACTTCTTTAGGTTACTTACAACATGTATTTAAAGCCAAATCAGGCTTACAAGGACAAGAGAAAATAAACATAAACAAATGGGGTGAAGTCACATGGTTTGGATCAGAGAAAGCGACCTGTCCAAACGGATCTCCATGGCTGAAGGAGACATGTGAGCTTTAATATATAAAACTCAACCCACTTGCTCCTTCTTTGTCCAGAACCCCCAACGGTCTTCTCCTCTTTAAACTGGTTCTCCAAGTTACTCTAGGTTCCCTTAGGTTACTTGTCACACAAAGCTGTACGGAACTTGTACCACACGCCTTCTCAAACCAATTGAAACCAATTGTAACCTTCTCAAACCAATTGTAACCTTAACCATTCGAATAATTATTCTTCTCTAGTCCTTTTTATTGCTTCATGTTCACACTCCCCCTCAAACTTGACATTAGATACTATGTTAAGCTTGGAGTACCATGAAGCATTCCCTCATTAAAACCTTACTCAGCAAAACCCATTGGGATAAAAGCTAAGCAAGGAAAGAGTAGAACACTTCATGGAGAGGGGATTAGTGACATGAAAGGTCTATGAGTCCAAGCTTAGGATGAATGAACTCACAGACCTTGCTACTGGCTGCCTTAGTGAAGATGTCAGCAAGTTGATCTTCACTTCTAGTATAGCAAGGAAGGATTACTTGTTGTTCCACTGCTTGTCTCACTTTAGAGCAGTCCACCTCTATGTGTTTGGTCCTCTCATGAAAGACTGAATTAAATGCAATGTGTATGGCTGCTTGATTATCACAATGCATAATCATTGGTGTATGACTCTCAATGCCCAAATCCCTCAGCAGCCCCTTAATCCATATGAGTTCACTAGTTAGTTTTCTCATAGCCCTATATTCAGCCTCAGCACTGGAGCAGGACACAACCTTCTGTTTCTTGCTCTTCCATGTGACCAGATTTCCTCCTATAAAGGTGCAATAGCCTGTGGTTGATCTCCTATCAACTCTGTCTCCAGCCCAATCTGCATCACAATATCCTGCAACTTCAGTACTCTTGTTGCAAGCCATCCATACTCCTTGACCAGGAGCCTCTCTCAAGTATCTCAAGATCCTCTCCACCATGTTCCAGTGATGAACTTTGGGATTTTGCATATATTGGCTCACTTGGTTCACAGCAAAACACACATCAGGCCGAGTGATGGTTAGGTAAATCAGCTTCCCAACCATCCTTCTGTACCT